TTTATTAAACTAAAAATTACTTTTATGGAACATTGACTGGAAAGACAAAAGAAACATCCTGTCAACAAAACTACAGGCCCTTCTTTGTAAAACTAAGACCTTTTTCAACACCAGTCTTGGAATAATAGACATGGCTGTGGAAAACGTATTTCAATTTTCCCCTTATATTGTGAGGATGATCATTCATTCTTCAAGCGTTACCTAGACAACAAGTGTTTATGTCCTATGGGATAGTCACCAACACAGATCTATAGAAGCCATAAAAGTGGCCATAATCTTAGAATGTCATTGCACACTCAAAGAATTTTAGATTTTATGCCAATTCTTCCCTCATGTGCAATATTAAAAATTATTTGTCTTTGTAATCAACACTTCAAAGCAGGCAATTATTTTGTTGACAACATTCAACGTTACTGGTGATAAGCTTTACAATGTCAATGCCTTTTGAATAATGCATGCTTTTCTGTGTGCAATTTTTATTGCTATCATAAAAGTTTGTGCACTGAGCACAAAAAGGAAATTGACACTGCTTCTGCCACCTTAGTATTTTGTCATTTTTTTTTTTGGGGGGGGGGGGAAAGGAAAAATTGACATGATGCATACTGTACAATCTGAGTAGCAACAAAATACTACCTTATAGTCAGTAAAAAGTGTCAAGACTAATTTTGAAACCATCAAATAAAAATATCCCTTGGTCCAAGCTGATTTCAAAAATATACAGTTAATGTTTGCAAAAAAGATAAAGAACTGCATCAGCATGGCTTACAAGATTCATTCCATGGAATATATTTTAATCCCATAATTTCACTGCCCTTTGGACAGTTAATGAAATATACAGCATAAAAATACAGAATACTTATTGGCTGAGTAGGTGTGATCAGGTTCTTAAACGAACATTATGTTCATGGTTGTAATTCCTCCAGGAAGTATAAATATGGCACCTAATGACTTTCGTCAAATACTGACATGTAGCGTATAAAAAAACTGTAGCGTTAATGTACATAAATCCCATAGGAATGGTATTTTCAATACTTAAATATTGTTTTCCTATTTTTTGGTTTTATTTCATCCTTTTGTGTTATGGTTTACAGTTTTGATTCTTTGCAGTCTTGACTGCCTCAAACAGTTCCTTTATTTCTGCCATGCTTTCAAACAATAATCGGACAAATCTCTCAGAGTTTGTCTGTTCTGACGAAATCTTGGAAGAAATATGGAAGAAAACCTTGTGGTCATCAGGAACCATGTAAGAAATTCCATAGCCATCATCAGCCACAGGTCCAAACCCACCACCAGGCGAAATCTGTGCGCAGAACAGAAAAATGTTAAAATTAAAATCAAATATCTCAAGTCACAATGCTCTTCTTTGAAGTGTTCTTATTTACCAAAAAAAATAATATTCAGCCCTTGCATTAGGGGGAAGTTTTTCACAAGATATACTACTGCTATAAATATTATAATTGTGAACCAAAGCATTTTGCTACCAAATATTGAAGTGGTTCTCGAAGTAAGACAGATATTCCATATTGACAACTACTGAATGTGCATCAGTTGGTCAGAGAGATATGGTGGATTAAAGTTTTGCAAAATAACAATACCATAGTTAAAAACACCTCCCTTATAATGTTGTTAGGATTGAAATCCTGTATGTGGTATGTGAACATTCAAATTCATCAATGTGTCTCACAATAATTCATTATTTCTGCATGGGATCTTTACTTGGGGACATGCCCATCAGCTGTTGGCCAATTCTTCCCAACCCTAAGTAACAGTCTCAGAAGTCTTAATTTGTAAAGGTTAACTTGGGGCAGTTTCTTTCTGATTTCCAAAGTGGTGAATGAAATCATTCTCTGAAGCACAACATAATCACTGTATATTCACAGAACTATCATTTACGAGCAGCAAATAGTGCTTCAATACTAGCAAAAGAACCTTACCAAATGTGCAAGTTCTGGCTCGTTTACACTAAAGTGCTGCCCAGACATTTGCTGTTGAGGTTGTTGACTTGTTGACAGAGTCCATGGCAAGCTCAAGGCACTCTTGAGAAATTCACTTTCCTTGAAAAGCAAAATAAAAATGGTTGAATGGCTAATGTCCCCTTTTATTTATTTATGTATATCATTAACTGGGTTGGTGAAGTGGTGAAAGATATATTTTGTTTTCGAAACAGAACTGAACACTTCCTTTACTTGCCAAATACTTAGTAATGGCATACTAAAAATACACACATTTACACTTTGGACACCGTGCTATAATGGCCACCCTGATAATACAGCCCAGGAAAAAATATACTGCATACGTTTGACCTAGGCAAACTCTTGCCATTACAGACTCTCGCTGTTTAAGACACTAACTTGAGGTCCCTGGACTATCCACTATAAACAGAGTTGACTGTATTAATGACGATACAGTGGAAGATTTTAGGGAGGGGCCTGAAGGCCAGGGTGCTCACCTTGTTTTTCAGCCAAACTAAAGTCTGTTGGGCTGAGAGAGATTCTTTTCAAGGCCGGGAACTCGTTTCTCAAAAGTCCCGATAATTTACAGGCCTGTAAAGCTGTTTTGGTTTTCATGCAAGATAGAGGTTTCAGTAGTTTTGGATCTAACATGATAAAACGATCAGTTAATGAAACAAAATGGAGTAGTTTGCTAGCCAGGATCCATACTCTCATTCTTTATATTTTGATTTGAATATTTGATTTCGGGCCTGAAAAGTTTTCCGGGACTTTCAAGAAACGGGCACAAGGCCCCCTTAATATCTTAGGGTCTAGATAAGCAGCCCCCTACTTACTTGAAGATCTCAATCTGACAGTACATTATTATTTAAAAAACAACATTTTGCTGTATTGTAAGTTACACCTGTTTGTTGTAGTCATGGCACATCTAGACGTTTTGAATCATTTTTCTTTTGCCTTTTCTTTTGCTGTGTTTGGTTTAATAGGCTCCAAGTTTGGCAGTCTTTTTTAGCAATAATTTAAAGCAGGCTTGGGATGGGAGTGGGAGCTTGTTTTACTTGTAATAATTTTGTACTTTATAGAACCTTTTACTTTTTTAAAAATCTTACTGTTAGAGGGTGGATATTTCATTTTTTTTATCTTGTGCTTTATAATTATCATAGTTCTTTTTTATATTCATTGTTTTTAGATGGTGATCTTTCTTGTAAGGGGTGTCTACTCTTTTTCACATTATACCTTGCTTTATTATCATTATTATTTGTTTATTTGCCATTATTGTTTGTTCATTTAATTTTGATTTGTAATTTGTGCCATTGAAGTGTAATTAAGTGAGCTAATTATGCAAATTGGCTACCACAGGCAGGATGAGAAGCTGTTTCAAGCACTAACCCTTTAGAGAGTTTTAGATTCGAGTTTACCCCCAACCTCTAACCGCTGGAGGTCACGTGACAAGTCTTTCGCGTCACGTTTGAGGTTTACGACGTGCGTTTTCAACGTGGGGAGGTAGGTTTTCACGTATGTCATTTACCTGAAAGCTTTTAGATGACATTCTTTATATTATTAGAACTCAACTAAGGCAGTTGCATTCATGCTATCCACTCTAAGGAAGGCCATTAATTTACATGATGCAATAAACTAGCTACAACAAGCAGATTCATTCACATTTTGTTCTTCTTTACTGGTCCAATACTAATTAAAATGCACTGGGTTTAATTTGACTCGAAGAGCAATATGCAAAATAAGGTCTGTAAAATAATGTTGCAAAATGATATCATCATAAAAATGTAATCGATTGAATTAAATTGCTAGGGAAAGCTTTTCAATTTAGGTCTTGGGACAAATGCTAAAAACAAGATATACTATCTAAAGGTAACATAACAGTCTCCAAACAATACATTACAGCTCTCTCTAATATGAAAATTCAAGATCCTTGGAGAGAGTAAACGAACAAAATGTACGACACTTTGAATAATTATTATTCCATAACATGTTTATTAAACTAAAAATTACTTTTATGGAACATTGACTGGAAAGACAAAAGAAACATCCTGTCAACAAAACTACAGGCCCTTCTTTGTAAAACTAAGACCTTTTTCAACACCAGTCTTGGAATAATAGACATGGCTGTGGAAAACGTATTTCAATTTTCCCCTTATATTGTGAGGATGATCATTCATTCTTCAAGCGTTACCTAGACAACAAGTGTTTATGTCCTATGGGATAGTCACCAACACAGATCTATAGAAGCCATAAAAGTGGCCATAATCTTAGAATGTCATTGCACACTCAAAGAATTTTAGATTTTATGCCAATTCTTCCCTCATGTGCAATATTAAAAATTATTTGTCACTTCAAAGCAGGCAATTATTTTGTTGACAACATTAAACGTTACTGATGATAAGCTTTACAATGTCAATGCCTTTTGAATAATGCATGCTTTTCTGTGTGCAATTTTTATTGCTATCATAAAAGTTTGTGCACTGAGCACAAAAAGGAAATTGACACTGTTTCTACCCCCTTAGTATTTTGTCATTTTTTTTTAGGGGGGGGGAAGGAAAAATTGACATGATGCATACTGTACAATCTGAGTAGCAACAAAACACTACCTTATAGTCAGTAAAAAGTGTCAAGACTAATTTTGAAACCATCAAATAAAAATATCCCTTGGTCCAAGCTGATTTCAAAAATATACAGTTAATGTTTGCCAAAAAGATAAAGAACTGCATCAACATGGCTTACAAGATTCATTCCATGGAATATATTTTAATCCCATAATTTGACTGCCCTTTGGACAGTTAATGAAATATACAGCATAAAAATACAGAATTCTTATTGGCTGAGTAGGTGTGATCAGGTTCTTAAACGAACATTATGTTCATGGTTGCAATTCCTCCAGGAAGTATAAATATGGCACCTAATGACTTTCATCAAATACTGACATGTAGCGTATAAAAAAACTGTAGCGTTAATGCACATAAATCCCATAAGAATGGTATTTTCAATACTTAAATACTGTTTTCCTATTTTTTGGTTTTATTTCATCCTTTTGTGTTATGGTTTACAGTTTTGATTCTTTGCAGTCTTGACTGCCTCAAACAGTTCCTTTATTTCTGCCATGCTTTCAAACAATAATCGGACAAATCTCTCAGAGTTTGTCTGTTCTGATGAAATCTTGGAAGAAATATGGAAGAAAACCTTGTGGTCATCAGGAACCATGTAAGAAATTCCATAGCCATCATCAGCCACAGGTCCAAACCCACCACCAGGCGAAATCTGTGCACAGACCAGAAAAATGTAAAAATTAAAATCAAATATCTCAAGTCACAAATGACAATGCTCTTCTTTGAAGTGTTCTTATTTACCAAAAAAATAATATTCAGCCCTTGCATTAGGGGGAAGTTTTTCAGAAGATATACTATTGCTATAAATATTATAATTGTGAACCAAAGCATTTTGCTACCAAATATTGACATGGTTCTTGAAGTAACACAGATATTCCATATTGACAACTACTGAATGTGCATCAGTTGGTCAGAGAGATATGGTGGATTAAAGTTTTACAAAATAACAGTACCATAGTTAAAAACACCTCCCTTATAATGTTGTTAGGATTGAAATCCTGTATGTGGTATGTGAACATTCAAATTCATCAATGTGTCTCACAATAATTCATTGTTTCTGCATGAGATCTTTACTTGGGGACATGCCCATCAGCTATTGGCCAATTCTTCCCAACCCTAAGTAACAGTCTCAGAAGTCTCAATTTGTAAAGGTTAACTTGGGGCAGTTTCTTTCTGATTTCCGAAGTGGTGAATGAAATCATTCTCTGAAGCACAACATAATCACTGTATATTCACAGAACTATCATTTACGAGCAGCAAATGGTGCTTCAATACTAGCAAAAGAACCTTACCAAATGTGCAAGTTCTGGCTCGTTTACACTAAAGTGCTGCCCAGACATTTGCTGTTGAGGTTGTTGACTTGTTGACAGAGTCCATGGCAAGCTCAAGGCACTCTTGAGAAATTCACTTTCCTTGAAAAGCAAAACAAAAATGGCTGAATGGCTAATGTCCCCTTTTATTTATTTATGTATATCATTAACTGGGTTGGTGAAGTGGTGAAAGATATATTTTGTTTTCGAAACAGAACTGAACACTTCCTTTACTTGCCAAATACTTAGTAATGGCATACTAAAAATACACACATTTACACTTTGGACACCGTGCTATAATGGCCACCCTGATAATACAGCCCAGGAAAAAATATACTGCATACGTTTGACCTAGGCAAACTCTTGCCATTACAGACTCTCGCTGTTTAAGACACTAACTTGAGGTCCCTGGACTATCCACTATAAACAGAGTTGACTGTATTAATGACGATACAGTGGAAGATTTTAGGGAGGGGCCTGAAGGCCAGGGTGCTCACCTTGTTTTTCAGCCAAACTAAAGTCTGTTGGGCTGAGAGAGATTCTTTTCAAGGCCGGGAACTCGTTTCTCAAAAGTCCCGATAATTTACAGGCCTGTAAAGCTGTTTTGGTTTTCATGCAAGATAGAGGTTTCAGTAGTTTTGGATCTAACATGATAAAACGATCAGTTAATGAAACAAAATGGAGTAGTTTGCTAGCCAGGATCCATACTCTCATTCTTTATATTTTGATTTGAATATTTGATTTCGGGCCTGAAAAGTTTTCCGGGACTTTCAAGAAACGGGCACAAGGCCCCCTTAATATCTTAGGGTCTAGATAAGCAGCCCCCTACTTACTTGAAGATCTCAATCTGACAGTACATTATTATTTAAAAAACAACATTTTGCTGTATTGTAAGTTACACCTGTTTGTTGTAGTCATGGCACATCTAGACGTTTTGAATCATTTTTCTTTTGCCTTTTCTTTTGCTGTGTTTGGTTTAATAGGCTCCAAGTTTGGCAGTCTTTTTTAGCAATAATTTAAAGCAGGCTTGGGATGGGAGTGGGAGCTTGTTTTACTTGTAATAATTTTGTACTTTATAGAACCTTTTACTTTTTTAAAAATCTTACTGTTAGAGGGTGGATATTTCATTTTTTTTATCTTGTGCTTTATAATTATCATGGTGATCATAGATGGTGATCTTTCTTGTAAGGGGTGTCTACTCTTTTTCACATTATACCTTGCTTTTTATTATCATTATTATTTGTTTATTTGCCATTATTGTTTGTTCATTTAATTTTGATTTGTAATTTGTGCCATTGAAGTGTAATTAAGTGAGATAATTATGCAAATTGGCTACCACAGGCAGAATGAGAAGCTGTTTCAAGCACTAACCCTTTGTTGTGGAGTGAATCTGTCTGACCAAAATGCCAGCTTTTCTCAATTTCTCTACAGTGGTCAATTTTATATCAAAGGATATTTGATAAAACAATTTTCATTTTTACTCCCCCACTAACATAATGCCACATTTTCCTTTAAAGAAACTACCCCTTCATCTTCAATATCATACAATGTATTGTGCCAAATGTATTAATTTCAAGAGATGTAGTGGTATTGCATAGCTACGAGATAAAAAATCTTCAAAGTCATAATACTTACATAACCTTGGCCCTTGCAAACCACATAGAGTGCAAAGAGATGCCTATCAATTCCCTTGCCATTCATACAGTCCTTGTACTTTTTAGCATGAACCTCAGCAGCTTTGAGGAGCAGCTTATATTTCTTGTCCACAGGAACCGCTTGATCCACAAATGCCAAAACAAACTCTTTGGCTTCTATTGTGTTGCTGCGCACTGTTTCAGTTCTTCCTTGGAGGTAAAGACGTGTCATAGAGGCCTCATAAGTAAGGGCATGTCTTCCACCAGAATCTTTGTAGTATGCCACTTGTAAAGCCAACTGGATAAATGCATCAGGGCTTATCTGTTATAAATAAAAGACAGTACAAAAAAGTTATTAATAAATGGGTAGTATTAGTTAGTGTTGTTGGTATTTCCACATTGAGGATGCAGTCGTAAGGTATATGTTGTAGTTAATTTTTTATCTCTGGTAATTTTTATTTTTCTTTTGTTTAAACTTTCTTAGCATACATTAATATACCCAAAAACAAAAGAAAAAGAAAAATTACCTGAGATAAGAAATTAACTACAACATATACATTTATTTTACCAACTGCTTTTGGTTGCTAAAGAATAATAGAGAACTGAAAGCCATAAAAATTGTACTATGAAAGGAACTGTTTGAAACCTTGGCATAGTCAGGGATTTCAATTAGCACTGACAACCGAGAAAATGTGCTCGGAGAAGTTGGCTTCTTTTCACGAATGAAACACAATTATGATGTATTTTCGTAAAGGCCCACTTGTTTTCTAATATGACGCTGTATTTCAGTCCACAATTTTTCGCATGCTTCTTTATAGGTTTACGCAGAATTTGTTCATCTGTTTGGCTGGTAAAACTTAAACAAAAGCAACATTTTCCTTACTGAAAAACACACTCTTTTCAGTACTCCAGAACGCTGGAAATCGCATTGTAGGGCTTTGAAATTTCAAAATTTTCTGGAGGAGTATGCCCCCAGAGCCCCCCGCTCCCCTAAGAGAAAGGGGACTAACGGCTTCTCGTTCATACAGTCAGTTACTACTCTTTTTAAACCTACTGGCTACTTCAATTGCTTTTGAAACCCCTGCATAGTTATTATTAATCTTGACTTGTTTGTAACCTCAATATCTTACAACCAACCCAAATTTCAAGAGGAAACACAACCTACTAGAAAACTGACCTTCACTTGCTTAATAAATCCTTTTCCAAATGCTTCATGGACTATCACATTATGCTGAATGTCAGCATTATTCTGGAAGAGACAAATCAAGAGTTAACCTTTTGCGCAACCCTGACAGCATTTTCAATAATCCCTGCTAGTTTAGGACTTATATCCCAGTACAGCCTTGCTGGTTTCTGAAGGTTATGGGTCCTCATAGTAGCACTCCTGTGAGCCCCACCAATAGGGGCACATTTACCCTGGTCATCATATGTTCTATAAATGTACCTAAAGAGCCAGACAGGATATCAAATGTCAACAACAATATTATTAGTATAATACCTATACAATTGGAAAGTTCCCCCTCCCCTGCCCCGCCCCACCTCCCTGCCCCCCAAAAAACATGTAAGTACTTACGGTAAACTAAGTGCCCTACTAAACACTAAAAATCATTGCAAAATCAATAAATAACCTTCACATCTTGAATTCAAACAAAACCTCTCACACACATGCCCTTCCTGAAATTCTTCTTGTTCATAGACGAATCTAATGAGAGACCTACATCAACACTGTACTTAAAGTGATCTTAGTGAACTTATAAACCACACGAAACAGTGCATGTCAACAAATAAGCAATTAGCAAAAGCAATTGAGCAAAAGTCTTTGAACTATCAGAGGTCTCTACCCTCTACTTGTTATAAACCAAAAGCACATCTTTATCTTCCCTGTAAAACTTACTCATAAGTTAGGGCATATTCAACCATGTGACCAATAACAGGAGCATCAGCCCATGAGTGCTCAGCATTGATTCCACATTTCCCATCAGAAAATACCACTAAACAGAAACTTTTGTCGAACCAGAAGCTTCGGCCATCCCCATGAAGAAGATACTTAGCTCGGTCACTTAACTCAGTGAATGACTTCTCTTCCAAAATCACCTTTTTAGAGAAAAGAGGTAAATGATTCGGTTAACCCTTGAACATCCCATGATCTGGCTGGCTATCCTAAGAATAGTTTAAGATAATCACTTGACAACATCACATTAGAAATTAAATTAGAAGACTTACCACAAACAATGCTTCCTCTATGGCCTCACGAGCCTGCAGATTTAGACCATCTGAGAAATGTTCTTTTCTGATTTTGGCCCACTCTGATCTGGGTAATGTTGTTAGAGCTGCCACACTTCCTTCAGGTTGATCTGAGGTAACTATTATAACATTCACACAGGGTACAAAGTTAGTTAAAAACTTCTTCCAAGAGACTTGGGCAACAAATAGAAATACTAGAGGAAGTAGGCAGCCAGAATTTCACACAAGAGAACAACACAGACATAATTTAATTTCACAATTATAATACACTCAAACCTACATGTGCGACCACCTTCGATAAACTACCACTAGTACCACGACCACTACCACTACCACTGCCAAGTCGGCCACAGCCAAGCCTTGACAAGAATTATTCGAAACTCTTCAAGTTAAGAACAGAATTCACCAGCCAGATAGCAAAATTCACTAGCCCCAGGCTATCGCACACCACTTTCATTACACACTGCTTAAAAATGTACATGTCTGATCTGTATGGGAGAATTGACTGCACTCTTCTTTTCAGACTCACTTACTGATTACTTAAAAGTAAGGTTAAGTGACTTCTTACCATCTGCATGTTTAGCATCTGCTTTGATCCACTCAAACTGGCCCTCCAGATCCAACACTGATATAAACTTGCCTCTGCTGTTAGTAACTGGCAACATATAAAAGGTTCCTCCACAAAACACAGCTATGTGCTATAAAGAGAAGCAGGGAACCTTACATTGTAGCTTTTTGAACATTACAACAGAGGCTTGCATTCTCCTCATCCAGCCAGCTAAGGCACTACTAACTTACACTCTTTGTAATAATATTTTTTCACTTAAGTTTTTATTAAGTTTGCATGCTCCTATTTTAGGGGCTTTTAAAGGAGAGCTGTCAGTAGCTGACCTGGTCGTTTGTCCACTTAATTTCATGGTCAGACAACATGTTGTTTGTTTGCAAGTAACTGTTGTAGTCTCAACTGAGGAACAAGAGGTGTCAATAAGCACAGGTGGGAACTTTTGCCCCTAAAATGAGTTTCTCAATACAGTATTCTTATTACTTTACCTTCTTAACCTATTCACCCTTGAACCGCCCGTAACCGCCCATGCAGATCCACGTCCCATCAACCGCTTGTGATGCCATCAGTTTAAACGGTCAAAGACAACTTTGTCCATTAACTTGGGCAGGGTGAAGTGATCTTTCAAACCATACCAGAATGAGTATGACTTAGTCAAGGAGGCCGGACAAAAAGGCAAAAAAAACCATGACCTCACCAAAAATTTCCATGAAAATCTTGTTCCACTACACCTACCTTTCCTTTAATCTAATCGTAAGATCCTAAAAGCTTTCTTAAAAACTTTTCCCACCAAATGAAGCCTACTAAAATTCCCAGCAAAAAAAAAACAAGGTAAGAAAAGCCTAAGAAGAGGGGAGGAGAGAAAGCGAAAAGAAGACTGCTGAGTCACTTTTAAAACCAAAAACTATCTCTTAATTTTGCTTTAGGTGCATACCCGAACTGTGCAACCTACAATGTAACATTTTGCATCTGGATGAGAAGGCCATGAAGGTTTTCACCTGTAAACTGCCTTGTGGTAAGTTTTAGCTCTTTATAGCCAGATGCTGACCAGAAAACCACTCAACTATCTTCAAAACGTTTTTTTCCCGCAAATTCCCAGGGGGAGGGGGGGAGGGATGAGTTAATGAAACCGTCTAAGATGATGTTTACAGCATGGAAAGAAAGTTGTGTCCGATAGCCTGGGGTTAGTGGATTTTGCTATCAGGCTAGTGAATTCTGTTAACTTGCCTGATGGCATGGGCAAGTGAAGTTTTTTGAGGAATTCACATTACAGAAGAACTGTGAAATCAATCTGCTCATCAAAATGTTTCTGGGCTGGTTGAAATGATGTTTGGGCTAATTAATGTTAGCTTCAGCTTGCCTGAATGGCAAGCAGTACAAATTACTTTCTTTGCACCCCGTGTTTAGTTTGATTCTATAGCTGACATGCCTTGTTTGTCACATTCAAGGAGTCACGTTATCAAACAACTCAGTCAACAAATCTCTGCAATTCTTGGAATCAACTAGGTATTTCTCTGTTAATGACACCACATGCTAGCTACTAGACTTAACCGTTCTGTGGGGTAATCAGTGCATCAACACAAACCTCATTTTCTGTGTGCTCATAATGGACAAGTTCATCCGCATCTTCTTTTGGAATCCTGTGGCAGTAAAAAAAGGACAAAACTTATTTCCATTTGCAAGTTGATGTCGTTTTCTTCATTTGAAAATAATGTCACCATGGCTGTTACAGTGATCAAAATATGGAGAACTTACCTGGTTGTCTTAAAAGTCCTTTCATACTGCCACATGCAGATAGGTATAGTTTTCCTTATCAAGAGTGGCTCCAGCTTCTCTGTTTCAATCTCCTGATAATACTTCAAGAAGAAGTAGCACATGGTTGCAGCTCTGTGTGAAACAACACATATGATGTAGACTTAGTGTTGACATTCAACTCAAATGCTGTGAACAAGTGTTGTGTTGTTGTCGATGATGCTACCAGTTCTTATTAAATCAGGCAGGGGTCCATATTCATTTTTGTGCTATTTTGAAAAAATAGCTCATATGTCAGTGGTGTGAGCATATGTATCTTTGTGGCTTTGTAACTTTGTATCTTTGTAACTTTGTATGTTCGGATGTTTGTTGCAAGAGCCAATAAGGTTGAAGGTACTATTAGTTGATGCTTAGGAACCAATGAGATCTTAGCATCTACTTAAACATGACATTGGTAAGGGTCGAACAAGGGCACTTTGAGACCGCAGTCTTGATTCTTCACAATTTTTTTTGTCTTTTATTACGGCTACAGGTGTTTGGAAGAATTACATTAAATATCTTCATTATTCAAACGCTGTGTACAGTGATGCAGCTGTTTCAGGGTTCATATTTTAGTATGGATGCTACTTCAAGGCATTTCTGACCTAATTCGGCTATCGGTACAACGCACGTCAGTATGAGCTCTGTTTCACCTGCTACAACTGGGTAGAGTACAAAAGATCATATATTTTCAAAGCTCTTCCAATGAAGTAATAATTGATACTTAGATAAAGACTTTAATTCGAAAGTATGCACCCTATAAAATGTGGTTTTAGAAGTTTAAAAAGGCAGCTTATTTTTGTGAAAGCTGTACCGAGTATTGTTAATCCTGTAAAAAAGCTCGCTTACAAAGTTCAACAGACCTTTTTCGTTCTGGCAAAACAAAACAAAAAAGAATAAAAAGTGAACAACATGATACATCCTTCCTGCATACTAAGTATTATAGTTTCTGAAACGTATTCTATTTAGTAAAGATGCGTAACTTAAGTAGAAACACTAGCGTTAGGGAATAAAATTGGAAGAAGCTAGTTGACACAATAATTAGGTACTGTTGTATTGAGTAACATGATACAAGTAGAAATATATTTCGGCAGTTTGATAATTTTCTTGGAAGTTAATAATTGTGGCTATCAACCTTGACGTTGCATGAAACATAATTTAATTGCAGATGTTGTAATAAAGCCGAGGTGATTTCTTAAAATCGATTGAGAAAATTTTGTAGTAAACAATTTGCCTTTTTTTTACCTACGAATTGTTAAAGGGCCAAAGACCAGCATCTTCACATGCAAATTGTGTGCATGAGTTATTTTTATAATTCTTTTTACTAGATTACTGTGTGATAACTCGAATTCCCTCACGTACGAACCACGAAAGGGGGCAAAGTCCAGCACTTTCACGTGCCAGCTGTGTGACTGTACATCTCATGCAGATTGGCTTTTCACATTAATAATAGTAACTTGGACGTATGAAGACCTGTTTCATTTAGTAACCAATGCCTTAAAAAAGGCTCTTGTCTTTTAAGAAGCAATAGCTTTTAAAACATGAAGAAATAAGTTGTCGGAGACTGTTTCACTGAGTAGAATCGCACGTGAAAACCTCGTGAATTATGATGATGCAACCATCTACCTCAATGATAAAAGTCCTGGTATTTCATAACTATTCAGTATTCGATGAGTCACATTTTGGCTTAAGGAACTCCGAGGAAACCTTAGAGTTTTCCTTCTAATCAACGTTTGGTGAGTAGAAATTTATTTTACTTTAACAATTTGTTTAACTTGCACCAGATGTAACAGGGAAAGACAGAGGAAAGTGAATATATAGGTTGAGGATCGACTCAACTGAGCGTTTCGCGTTTTCATTTATGTAGCGCAATACCCAATTTCGCACAAAAACCAAATCTACATTTAGGATGAAAAAGGTAGATTCATCACTCTTGGTAAGGTTACACCGAAGTATTATAGTTACACTGAAGCATTCAAAATAGCTCATGCACGTTTAACGTGCCTATGTTTTTTTTAGAGTCGTCAGCCAGGCAAGTATTGAAGCCTGATGGCATACTTGCCCGGTTACACTTTGGGTTGCCCAGACAAAAGTGCCGAATTATATTATAAAAGAATGGTGAAAAAAATGTGTGTAACTTGAACATTTCTGATTAGCATTTTTTCCTCCATTTAAGGCAGCAGCTCCAGCATCACCTTTTTTCCGTCAAAGGCAGTAAATCATGTTCTAAAAACGTCACAAATTCTTGATCATGATGCGTATGAGGCACTGTCTCTTGCTTCACCTTTTTTTTCTGCCGAAGGCGACAAAATGCTTTCCAAAAAATGCCACATCGTGATGTGTGCTGTCATGTTTTCTATGAATGGCCCCTGAATGTAGTACTTCACAAAAAGCTGAGCCCGCGATCAATTCGTAGAAAATACTGCACCATCTTGCCCAAACTTACGATTTCATTGCAGACAAAAGATACTTGTTACTCTCCATTATTCTAAAGGTTTAAGTGGAAGTAATCAGAGCACAAGGAGAATGTATAAAATCATATTAAGAGTTTTTGAAAAGATTTTGTAGCTGAGAAAAAACCTGACACTTGTCCAAAGGGCAACTTTTGAAGTTGTCTTAATTGTCCATACGAGATTGTAGTTGTCTGGCACAACCAGACGACTGAGAATATGGATCCCTGAATCAGGACTTGTTACTTGAATTCAAGCTGCCTTGTCCTTTCGGAAAGCAGCTGATCTCACATTCTGCTTGCCTGGGGCCACTTTTTGTTCATCTTAGCGAATGATTTTGTACTTTGTACTAATGGTCTTGCCAGAACCTTTGCCCATTGGGCAAGTAAGCTTGAAAAGTTTAGCTTGTCCTGGATTACTGAACCAAAAATTTTTCAAGCCCTGTTAGTTTCATCCAGTAGCCACAATGCTAGTTCTTATATCTCACAGCCAACTGACATTTGAACAAACATTTTGTGGGGAATACTAATTTTTATATAAAGCAGGATCATGATCAAAATAGAACTGTCTTTACCCTAACACAAATGATTGAAAGAGTCATCATGATCAGCATTCAAAGAAAGTAATGACCAATAGCCTGGGGCTAATAAATCACTATTCAGCAGCCTGTGAATTCTCTTCTTACCTTGCCTGAGAGGCTTGAAAGTGAAGTTTTTTGGGGAATTTAAATTAAGGAAAAACCGTAATCAATCCTGCTCAAACTTTTTTTTCAGGGTAGTTGAAATGACTTTTGGGCTAGTATTATACAAGGCAAGAATGACAAGCTGTAAAACTAACTTTCTTTGCATTCTGATCATGCCAAGTTTAGAAAGCCTGGAAAAAGACAACACAAACATCTAGTATAGAAGTACAGTGTGGGTTACAGAAACACATAAGTTGATCACCAGGAAAAAGAAGAAAACAGTAGATGCTTTTTTGTACCTTGATGCTTGATTCAAAGTTGGATGCCAGTTTTGATCAAGACAGTAGTAGTTACTGTTGTTAGGCAGAGGTAACCGACCCATGCAATACACGTATTTTTCCCACCAATCTGTGTGATAGTTAGGTGCCCACCAAGACTTCAGCTTCAAGATAAACTGAAGCTTTGGGCCAAGGTTCCTTTCAAAGTCCTATAATACAAACAAGTGGGAAAAGAGGTCTTTTTAGTCTCGTGATTTACAGCTATCAAACAGGGTAACGTTCAGTGTAAATTTAAGGAGTATTATTGTCCCTAAACAACCAAACCAGAGAGGAAGAAAAATTCAATTATTATTTTGACAGCTACAAAAATACTGAACTCAAAGCCCTTCAGAATATATACACAAGAAAAAATAGAGTGAAACAAAGACATAACTGAAGCCAATTAAGCTATTGTCATCCTGACCTTAGCAAGTGCTTCCATTTTTTGATACTCTTCATCATCCAAAACTGGTTTGACAGAACGTAGCAGTTCTTTACATGTGTCACTCAGACTTGGAACAGACATTCTTGGAAGACTGTTTTGATAACTGTATAGCTTTGGACGTTGACCAGAGCAAAGCTTCACCATCAATCCCCACAACAATGTCAACTTGCTTTGTGATCGTGGGGGCTCATCTGTAACACAATACATTCAATTCAAGTTAAAAATTAGACATGAAATATACTGACAATAAAGAGACGAAGAGCTCCCCTAAAAGTCTGTCGGCCGACTGTTGGTATACTGTCAGCCAACTGTATACCAACAGTTGTCCAACAGAAAACCGACACTGAAGAAAAAAAAAGAAGTGTTCTGATATTGACACTCAACCCTTACTGTAAATTCTGTTAGAATTAGTTGCTTTAATAATGACTGATAATGCTCTTCATAAAGTTTAACTATGAAATTGCCCTATAATGCATTGCGGTTTGATAAAGCCAGTGTTAGTGCATCATATATATGTACTCTCAATTATCTCAAAAAACCTAAACAAAATGGCAGACTCAAGTTTGGCCTCGATAATAATATTGGCCCTGTCGGTCAACAGTCCGCCAACGGCTGACAGTTTTTTTGGGGAGCTGTTCTTCACTATTTCTGACAATACCACAATGATCTCATAGTCCCCAGGTCATCTATTTAATTTTAGGAGCCCAAGTGGGGGTGTTTAATAGATGCACGCAAAAAGAGAGATGTTGTTTCTCATAACTGTTACAAACTTCACAAAACTAATAAAAATGCTTTTGGTGAATATATTACAACAGTCAACTCAACTGATGTGATTCAACTCACTTTGACTCTGAAGATGACTACTGAACAGGTTGTCAAACATCATTCATTGTCAACAACCACAGTCCTATTCAGGACTACGTTCACCTGGACAATCATGCTCAACCTATACATTTACTTAGTGATAGACAGTTAACTATACAGGTCACCTATGGGGATGTCTAGGCCATTAAGAGATCGGCCATATTGTTCTTTTAAATTATACTCAACTTTGATGTTAGAATCCTTTCTAATCAGGGCTGTCACTAAGATTTCAAGTTGTTGGCTAAATACAAGGAGTAGGCTGGGAATCAAACAGCTATTGATTTATTTTGGTTCTATTTTTCCTCTTTTTTCCTGTGAAAGTAGCTGGGATCATGTTTAAAGTAACTGGGGGAAATCCAGGGTCTCTGGCCCTTAATGATAGTCCTTATACACATAAATTACTTTGAACTTGAGATTGAATAAGATTCAACAATCATTGAAACTGAATTGACATTGAATAAGCACAAACTCTGAGGAAATAAATCTAGATACTTCTTTAAAACATAGCCAAGGGTAAACCCTTATTAATAAAGCATGAAACTGAATAAATTGGAAGATTGTGCTCTATTGTGTGGTTTTAGAAATATATCCAGATCCCCACCAAGAAGGGAATTTCACTTCGCCCCCCCCCCCAACCTCCCTTGATGTTTCATTTTTTTACAGAACTGATAACCCCAGCCCCTCCTTAAATTCCACAAGTGCTACGAAGACCCCCCAACCCCTCTAGAAAAGTTCATCGCAAAATAAAAACACACTACACCACAACAAAGTAACCTAATCTGCAAAATTTTGTTTATCCCGTATTTAAATGAAACAGGTAAAGTATATATGTTGTTTCTGTGAATTTACCACAAAATTAAGGGAAAGTGAAAAGGACTAAAAAACCAGTAAACCCTGAAATGGTTACATTGTAAACCATTTTCTTCCTGAAGAGAAATTGCCACTAGCATTATATATACTGTTCTTGATAGTAACTTACAAAATGAAATTGGATTTTTTTTTTCTTTGGGGGGCTGGGGGGGGGGGGGGGGGGAG